CCGTATTTATGAACTTATTTACTTCATAGTCGGTTCTTTCTTAATTCGAAATTTTTAATTTTCCTGTTTTCCTCTTGCCTCCCACCTCCCGCATTGCATGTTACATATAGCCGCAGATCTTTTTATCTTTATTTCCATAAATATTACACAAGACTCTTAAATTCGCTCAATACATTCGCGTGCGAGCTGAGAATTTTCCAAACGCTTCATGTACTACTCAAAGCAAAAACAAGAGGCATCTACCGAAAAAACTGAAACAATTGCAAATAAATCAAAAGCATTTGCCATATTCTTTTAGTCTAATTCAGTGTTTTCTTTTTTCCTTTTTGTTTTTGTTAATTCTTTTTTCTCACAACGTTGCCAGTTGGCGTTTGTAGCGCCCGCAAATTAGCATTGTCTGCCGAAATGGCAGCAAACAACAACAACGCCAACTGCTTGCCATATAATAATCACACCAAAGCACTATTGCCGCCAAACTGTTGGTGGTTTTTGGTGGGAATTGTGCCACTTTTAATGCAATCATTGTAAATTCTATGATTTTTTTTTATTGCACTCTGTTATTTTTGTTGCGTTTTTTTCTGACTACTGCTGCGCTGCCAAACTGATGGCGCTCGATTTGCATTTACGAGTACGTTTGCGTGGTAGCAGCAATTGTTACAACCTCTCCATACAATTGTCGTGTTTACGACCTCTCGCGTTGTTGTTGCTATTGTTGTTGTTGGCCAATGTTGACAACATCATAAAGCATATTGTCATTAGCATGTTTGCGACTCGACTCGATGACTCGCCTGCTTGTTGCAGATGTTGCCTGGGCTTGCCTGCGATTTGCTGCCGGTTTGGTTGCTGCTGGAGTTTGGTAAGCTTTCGTTGAGGCAGCGCGTTGGTGGGTGTTTCCAAGCTAACGCCGATAGTCATACGCGTAGTTCACATGAAAGTGGTGATTGGGTAATATTTTTTGTGGAAAATGTTACTGCGAAATATATTTCTGTTTTGTGTAGTTATGAATAACTAAATTCTGTCTTGAAAAAATTAGTCCATTGAAATTGGCGGCTGATACAGGTGAGATAGAGCCCAAGATATGGAGATTCGCTGCTATTCGAAATGCCATAGATCGACTAAAATAAATAGGTAATTTCTATGATCTATGGCTGCGTTATGAAAGCAGATCAGGCATGAGTAGATATTGATACGCAATGGTTTTTTTTTTTTAACTTTAACGCAGCATGTCTCAGTGGGCTAAGTTCACCAAATTTTCAAACATACGAGGCGAACCAAGAAGGCAGGATATTTCAATTTCCTGTTTAATTACAGTACTAGTGACCGAGATGGTAGAAAGGAAGCCTCCTGTTTTATGGCACACCAGAAGAACTGACAGAGTTGATGGAAAAAGAAGGGCACAAAAGACGGCTAATCGTGGGCGCAGATGCGAATGCACACCATACCGTATGGGGTAGTGTTCACATCAGTGAAAGAGGTGAATTCTTATTCAGTTACTTGCTAAAAAGTAAATTTAACATATCTAATAGGAGAGCAACCTCTAGCAATGTGTTTGATGTTACTGAAACTCTGGTGAGCGCATGGAGGGTCCTGGGCAGGTCCCCTTTCTCAGATCACAGGTGCATAGGTTTTACTATAAACTTAGATAAAATCACCAAAAACTCTTGGAAGAAGAAACCCTAGGAAAATAAACTGGCATAAATTTGAGCCAATGGTCCATAAAAAATTCGAGTCCGTTAGACCGATCGGGCATAGGCGACTTAAAAGTTGCAAACTTCCACCTAGCAAATACCTTAGTAGAAGCGTTCCATAAAGCGTGGATATAACAGGGAATCGGTAACGTCGAAAACGATGTTAATCCGAAGACTAAATAACCGTCCCTAAGTATTCGGCCTCAATATTTCTGCAATACTCTGAGCAAGAAAATTTTGGCGACAGCTTGCTCCCTCAATGTAGGCAGTTACAAAGACTTGTAACCCTTTGAGACAACATCAAAGCTCTCCCAAATCTCACTTAAGCTACACTTACCATTAAGCGTTCAATAGATTTGAGCTACATTGATGTTATTTCTAAATGACATACTCAAGTATATCCAACTTATGTATTACAAACCACATTTCTGTTAAAACAAATTTGATAATGACCTACTTTGAGTGGCTTTAAAATAATAGCTAACAGATTATAATTAATAAAATAGTAACAACCACAAAGCGAGCGCAACAAATTCAGAAAGAAAAAAGAAAACCTCCCAAACATTAAATAGCAGCAAAAACAGGCTTCCTTATGCAGTAAAGTCAACACCTACACGATTAGAGGTACATAATTATTTAAAAGCAGTTTCACAGTATGAAATGCCACAAAGTAGTATGCCTTAATTAAAACAACGAGCAGTTGAACAACTATCCGCAAAAATATAGTTTCAGCGAAAAGTCAACTACAGCGGAGTGGCAACCAAATTAAATGTTTTACACAGTGTTAGAGGTCAAATGATGGTTCAAAAATAAAAGCATTTAAGTATGTATTATAAAAAAGTCATGGCGAAGAAGAATGTTTGGGATGGGAAAACGCTGAAGAGGCACTTCAACGCTACGGCGGTAAATGAAGCTTAATTTGCTGCAGAATCACAGAAAATGATTAATAGTCGTGGGGCAGTTATAACAATATATGTATGTAGGTAAGTATGTAGCCAACGGTTTTAACATTAAAGTTTTTAATTGTAGGGTATGTGATTAAAAGTATTTCTGCAACGGATTTTTTTTTTCAAAAGAGGCGTGTTTGTTTTAGTTGTTCAGGCGTGCAGAATAGATTAATTAGTTTATGAATGCCAACATTCGAGAGATGTGCATACTGATGGATTTCATATTATGGAAATGATCTAAAAATTGATAGGTAGTACTTGCATATGTTTTTCATGTAAACATATTGCATACATCTAAAATTAGTAAAATAATGACAGTGAAAAAGAATATTTAATCGAGATAGAGACCTTGGAAAAACGTAAATATTGATGTTACGCATATTACCGCAAAGAAAAAAGAAACGAGGAGGCTAGCGCTCAAACTGGCAACACGATTTGTTAGGTTAGCTTTGGTGATTTTCGGTTAGGTGGAAGTCACACTGATAGGTTTTCGATCAGCGCTCGCTTAGCCGACTTGTACTCTAAGTGTCTGAAAGCAGCTCACATTGTGTTAAAGTAATCCCTCTTACCGCCTGTGCTTAGAGATGGTGCCCCACCTTGCACCATCCTGCCATGTCATTTTTCGCAGGTACACACATATCAATTTAATTGGGAAATATTCAAATTCCAACGAGTGATAAACCTTGACCAATTTCGATCGCACCGAAGCCAAGGCAAAGACTCAAATTATTGCTCATCTCAGAATAAATACATATATATACATGGGTTTACACAGTTGCAGAATTGGAAGCCCAAACTCGCGGTTTTCGTACAAATTCTTGACAGAACACGCCCCATGCAATTCTTAAGTTCAAATTCGAACCATCTGCGAATACATAACATCTGGGACTTTGATCTATATGCTCTCCCTTTCACACCCATCTCATAGTCGATTGTGTATTCGCTTTGGAGAGACATCGTATTGAAAGAATTTTCACGACCATATAATCTTACATGCATCTCAAAAATTAGCTGTTGTTGTTTAGAGGCGAACAATATTTGAATAATCTGTAAATAGAATAGTCAGTGCGGCTTCCAGAATCAGCAACTTTTTACCAGGCTAAAACTATTATCATTAACTAATCTCCCAAATACCTATACGTGAAGCTTTGGCCGAAGATAAAATATTAGTTTGAAAATATTATTTTTCTACAAGCCTTCGTAAAATTTCGATATTTTTTACATTGAATTCTGAGCATGCAGTTTTGTAGCCCATTGAATTCTAGTATTTAGTAAGTGTAAGTTTCAAATGGCTAAAGATTACCGTTAAATTTTTGTGATTTTTTTTTTGTCTCAATTTCTTCCATGCATACATACTTATAACGAATAAACACAATTCATTTTTATATGGAAGTAAACCAGAAGATCTTCGAAAAAAGAAATCAAAGATAATTTTTTGCCATTTAAAACATCTAGATAATCTAAAAAAAAAACCTAGAAATTTTTACGAAAGATTTCTGAACATTTTTCAAACGTTTGAGACTTGGATTTACATGAGTTTTGTTAGACAATGAATTATGTTTGTATAAAAAAAATTAAATAACAAGAAAAATTATATGTTAAAATTTGACAAAATGTGGTGCGGCTATAATTTATTTAACCACTGTATGTACTTAGTAAAATTTTGTACTCTAGTTCATCTTTATTTTATTTTTTTCAACGGCATGACTCACTTATTTACCTTTCTATCTCTAATTTCCTTCTCACTTTATAACTGACCTTTCCAATTTTTTTTCTGAACAAAAACTATTATATTTCAAATTAAAAAAAATACACTAAATTAAATGTAATAATGCGCATAAACTACAGTTAATAGCAATCGACAAAGACAATTGGAGAAAATTACAACCGAACAAATTTAGTTGACAGCAACAGCATTGACAGCGGTTGAAGACAAACGAAAAATAAAGACACTTAAAACAAATGTCGAAGGTTACTGCGCCGCCACAAAAAAAAAAAACAAAAAACAAAAAAGAAAAGCTACGAAAATAAAACTACTTTACCACAAAAAACAAAATAACAAGGAGAACAATTTGACAAATGTAACTGTTTTGCGGTTTCGGTTGTCGCGAATTTTCGTGCCGCTCACTGGCCTTAGTGATGGACTATTAATGTTGTAATAATCACAGTGTGTCATGGTATTTAAATAAACTAACCAAAGTAACGACTACATGTAAAATAACTTGCTTATAGGTCGGTGACATGCGGTTGATTTAACAAAAAAAAAAAAAAATATTACATCCAAGTATCACAAAACTAAAGGTTTAATTCGACAGGAACCAAAAAAATTGTTTGCCATTTATAGAACTTATGTACTATTGAATACAGCAAATTTAGAAGAGAACGCCTGGAATTTTTAACATTGCGATGTCATACGAGACGTCTTTGTCAGGCTATGCATCAGCATGTACTAGTAGAAATACTAGTAGCATTATACCAAACATTATGGCAGACAGACCAAAGCACTCGCGTGGTACGCCTAAGGTCCCAGATTCAAGTCCTGGCGGCGGGAATATTTTTTATTAATTTTTTTTCATTTATTTGTTTAAATAACTTTTTTTTTAGCTAGGGTTTTTATTGTAATTTTTTAATTTAATTAGAAAAAAATTTGTGTTACATCTTATTTTTATGGCACTAGCATTACTTCCTATATGTATGTTTTTTCTGCAATGCAATTAGATTTTCAAATTGGTTATTTATATTTAAATTAAATAATTATTTTTACTTACATTGATTCAACTTTAAAAATTTTAACACCTCCAAGCGGCTTTGTATCAGCGATCTCAGAACCAGAACGAGTGGTCTTCACGTGACGCCACAGCCGATATTTGTAAGAAAAGCGATTAATTGCGTTTTTTTTTTTGGATACTAGTTAATGAACTAGTATCTTTTCTAACTGGTTTGGCTTTTCACTGTAGGGCTATTCTTCATGAAATCGGTGATAAAATTTGTGCTAGGCTCCGCTGACATTTTAATGCTTGATTGCTTCTTAATTAAGGCAATTTTCTGAAGCAATTTTAAATTGCCTGAGGTCTTTGATTTTCGAAGGTTTAGTTAATTTAATTTTCGGGTAAATAACACATTTGTGAAAAAACTCAGTGCGGAATAGGAGTTTGCCCCTTTTACTTTTTCGTTTGTCTATTTATCCCTTTCATGGACAGCTATAACCGATAAATTTCGTAAGCTATTTTATAAATAATAATAATATTGACAAAAACGTCAAA